TTAATACGGGGCATGACTTCATTTGAAAAATTAAATTGTATTATTATTTTTGTTGTTTAACTGCTCGATATTACTGATACTGTCACTTAATTTGAGGGTGTTTTTATTGTGCTTAATAGACTTTTTATATTTCTTTTAAATATATATTTTATATTTATATTTTTATAATCTTCCTGTGTTTAATATATATGTTATATAGGCTTGAAATAATGTTAAAAATGGAGAAGTAACCTCTGTAGAAGTAACCACTGGTGTGTATGTTACCTTTATAGAAATGTACATAATTTAAAAACTTTAAGGGCATCTGGAAATTGTATTTTAAGTTGAACTTACTGTTAGGAAAAAATAATAATGTGATGTGAATACACAATTGTAAAAATGAGTGCGGACGCACATGCATTTTGGGCTTTATTTATATTTTTATTTAGTTCCCATGGTTGTACTTCATTAAGTTAGGGAGGTTTCTACTAGCATTTATAATTTCCAAGCTAAAAAATTGCTTATGTTAATTTTATTTATCTTGCTAACGTGGCATTACAGGATGGGCAGTTTAATCCACAGGTCACTTTCTGGGCAGTCACTTTTCTCTTTAAAAGGTTTAGCAAAGTTAGAGAACCTGAACTCAACGAGCCTGTATTTGTTGAATGGCTCTCCTGATGCTCATCTTGAATGTGGACCAAAGAATGGAGTTAATTTGCACTAAATGCATGTACTACTTAATACTTTGCCAGGCCCCAGCACTGTGCATGACCCTACACGTGGCGAATTGTAATGAGCACTTGGGCCATGCTTGGTTTTGAGTGCATTTCTTCGTGTTCTTTCGAACAGTTAAATGTACTATCTGAATGTATTCAATATGATTTTTTTTTCCTGCAATAACCAGTGAAAGTCCTTGAGTGCTAGTAGGAAGGATTCAAATTGTTGATGGTGGGACCATCTTCTCAAGCTCGTACCTTCTTCAGACTTTAGAAACCTTGAAGGCTATATCTTAACATTAAACATGATCCTGTTTCATGATACAAACCTAGGACTGTAAAATGGGGTAGAGCTAAAGCCTGGGAAGGTGTAGATGAAAGAAAATCAAGCATGTGTAGATCATTAACCTGGATAATAGGAATCTCGTGTTCATCATGTGGTTCTCTTTGCTTTTGTGTATTTGAGTTTGGTTATAACAATAAGTTTGAAGTGAGAGACATAATTGTAGAGTATGATACTTGATATTTCAAGTTTTAAATTGAGGTGACAGCTGACACCAAGGGCCCAAGATTGGTTACTTGAGCAAATTCTACAAAGAGCTCAAATCACCATATATATATGGACGTGGTCGTGAATGAGTGTTTTCATCTCCTCCTGCATTCCAAAACCTTTTGCGAGTGCCCTCTCTTTGGTGGTCAGTATGGTGCCCTCTCTTTGGTGGTCAGTAGTTTCCAAGGCTGGCATCTCCATAATGGCATCTCCCCTTACCCTGTGATTTGATGCTTCCTGCTGAGAGAGGGGAGCTGGGCGCCTTTTTGCCTCTGGGAGAGCTTGAGATTCCAACCAAAGTGACACCACAGGAGGCTGTGGTAAAAAGCAAGCCAGCTTCTGCTGTGCATGCCCTTGAAACTCAGCACTCTGCTTTGAGGAAGACCAGGCTGCCTAGGGCGCCCACACACAGGTGTCCCAGCGGGTAGTGTCTTTCATCTACACTCTTTGCCTACAGCAGCCTCCAGACACTGGGAACAAACTTCCTGATGACTACAGCCCGACTGTCCATCCACACTTCCAGCTCAAATCCTCCTAGCCAAGGCCCTAGGAGCCACGCTGCAGAGAAGCAGCTTTTCTGCTGTCCCCTTCTGAGCCCATCCCCACAGAGTCTAATAAATTGCTTGTGGGTTTATGTGGCTAAGTTGGGGTGTGTTACACTGCAGCATGGGCTGGAACAGCCTGCGTTTACTATTGAGGGAGTGGAGACTCCTTCCTCACTGAGTCTTCTTTCCCATAATATGGTCAAAGACACATACACACTCAGTGACTGTTTTGATGGCCTGCACAATACTATTTCCATCAACATGATTTTCAAAGCAGGAGTCACATCATGGACCATCAGTTGTACCATGTGGTTCTCTTTAGTTCTTATTCCACCTACCCCATTCACCAGGACTGTCCTTCCTGCTGGAGCTCAGATCCATGGCGTCCATGCATTCTCCCCAGGACTCTGGCTGGTTGGGTGGAGGAGAGAGAGAGGTGGTGCCCCATCTGGAGACGACAGGAAAGGGGGTGTCCTAATTCTTTCTCTGTCTCTCTGACCACCAGAATCTTTGCTGCTTTATTATATAAGCAATGCTTTTTGTTGCTGCACACAGAGCTGGTGCTCTTTCTGCCTAATTTCATCATACTTTTGCATGCAATGTTATGCCATGAAAAAAACTAATGTTTTCAGTGATAAACAGAATACAATGTTGTCCAGCACTTGCGGGTCAGAACAGCTGCTAACTTGAACTCTATCTGATATTCCACTTCCCAGGCTCTTGTGCATCCACAAACGTTTGCTGTACTTTCTGTTTCATACTTTTCATATCACTTAAATATTTAATAATACTCACACATAATGATCATAAGTAGCAGTTAGTGTTCTTACTAAAGCTTTCTCTGAAAAATATTATTTTGTGTATGTTTGGGGGAAAAATACCAGAAGTGGCTCTACGTGTACCTGGTAGAGAGAGATTTGTTCCTGACAACTTTCAATATACACAAAACTCCATTTTAATCAATTTTCTAAAAGTAGATTAAACATGTTCAGATGTCTGTTATAAGTAACAAATTAGTATGTAAAGATGAATGGCTTAGCATGTTGCTTCCTGACCAGCAAATATTGAATGTATTTGACCGGCCCCTGCTTTGTATGCTGGAGCAGGTACATTTGCATAATACTCTTGTTTATGATATGGATAAATAACATTAGAAAAATGTGGGTAAAAAGATACAATAAAAACTTGTAGCTTCCTAGCATGGACTATTACCTAGTGAGGTAGAGACTTGGAGCTCGAAGAAGCTAGAAGAGGAAGAAGAACGAAGGAGGGGAACAGAGCTGGATGATACTGATCATTTTTTGTGGATGGTTACGGATGATGTGGGATGGAGTTGTGTTTTCAAGGGGCAATTTCAGGAAGGGTTCACAGAAATGAAACACTAATAAGAACGTGGAGGATGTCAACTAAGAGAAGTTCTTTGGGGATTCACTTTGATAGCTTTTCAGAACAGCAGGGGCTTAGGGTTTGGGGAGAGTTGACGGTCAGTTGATCAGAACATACTGCTCATGCCCCTCAGAGGCACCCAGCCCTGCACTTTGACCACATATTTTCTGTTGGCCTCAGATTCCTGCTGCCTGTTTACATATATACATTTATTTACTCGGCATTAAACACATTCAACAATGTCATCGCTGCACTTTTAAGCTTTTGATCTAGTTTGGTACTCATGTTAATGATGAAATAGACCGCCCTATGAGGAAACAGACTGCTCTTGTCAGGTGACCTTTAAAAAAAAAAAAGATTTACTTATTTATGCTTACAGAATTGAGGTATAGGCCAGAAGTGTGGTGGGTGAGAGGAGTCACCAGAGACAGAGTGGGGAGCAGAACAGGCTGATATACTGAAACACACGGCTGAGGGGAGCAGTGGGTGGGTCAGGAGAGTTCTGTCTAGCCATGTGGGTCAGCTCCCTGGCAGGGGATCGAACTCATGCTGCAGTGGCTGGAGAGCTTCATAATGCAGTGCTTTAACCCATTGCACCACCAGGGGGAGCCCAAGGTGAACCATTTAGATGCATGTGAGAATTTATAATTTGAGATGATCTGTCCCCATTTTCTGAATGTTCCCCAAGACTAAGAAAAGTCTTCAAATAGTGTGTGGGCTGTCTGAGGTATAGAGTGGCAATCAAGAACAATGGGATTATGGGAAACTCACCAGGATCTGTTCTTTCAAACCTGTGTGACGGAGTTCTTTCAAACTTCTCCTCCGAAGCCAACTGTCCTGCTGTCCGCACTTGGTCAGCTGGAGCCACCCCAGAGTGAGGGCCACCCTTTGGTCAGGCCTTCCACTTTTGTGCTTATTTAGGAGGAGAGTTATTCTCTACCTATGAAAAATATCAGTGTGGTGCTCTGCGCTTGGTCCACTAGTTGATTTTTTTATATATTGTTTAATCTTTTGCGCCTATAGTTTACCTTCATGCTTCTAAAAGTGCAACTTCCCTATGTTGTTAACATTTCAACCTATTATTAATATGCTCGACAATGCATTTCAATATATTATTTTCATTGCAGGTAACTGCCTTTTTTTTTCTGAAAAGGAGATGGTTTGATTTTTTAACTGTAAAGTCTGAGTGCTACAGAGCTGGTTTTATCTCTAAGGATATTCAGTTCCTGCTTCTTATGACCAGCTTTTTTCCTCCCAGTATTCTCAATGCTAGATATTTACTTCATATATTAATAGGATACTGAGATGTCTGTTTCTAGGTTTTCAGCAAGACCAGTTGCTTTGTGTCATAAGAACCTGGGGATGTTGAGGGCTGCCCCCACCTCAGACACTTGCCCGAGTCTTACCACACCAAAGACACTGAATACATCAGGTCACAACTCCACTGTTTTATATATATAAAAAAATAACCCGAAACCCTGCAGATCGCCATAAATTCTATTCCACCTGGTGGTCTAGTGGCATCCAGAGAATTATTTCGCTGTTTCCCTCCAGTTAGTCTGTGCTTTTTCCTTCTATAATAAAATTGTCAGTGGTGTCCAGTGGTGGAGTTTGGAAAATGGTTCAATGTTGCTCATCTTAAGAGGCTGGACTCTTGTTTTAAAAATACTCGAGTTTTCCCAGAAAATCTGTTTATCTGCACCATCTACGCCCACTGTGCCCTTGCGTCTCCCAGACCCCTCATCTCTTCTTACACGTTTGTTTGTCTTTCTGGTGTAAGCCACGTTTGGAAGTCTCATTAAACCAGCATCTGTTCTGTTTTAGGAGAAACCCGACGCCAGCCCCACGTCACTTCAGCTGCGGTCCCAGATCGAAGTAAGCACAGTGGCTTTAATCATCTCCTTTGCTTCTGCATTTCTGTTAAGCTGTGTTCTGTGCGAATCTGATGAGTCCTGCCGCTCTGCCTGCGCTGACGCTGTGAATGTTCTCTCCTAGGAGACGCTCGGCTTCAGCAGCGTCGCGTCAACACCTGAGGTGGACAGAAAGTAAGTTTCCCTCCCTCTGCCCAGGGTCAGAGTTTCTGAGAAGGTGTCTTTCAGGGCCACCCTGGGGGAGGTCAGATGGGTCTGGAGTCCACGTGTGGCTACGGATTTGATGTCACTTCCTCGAGTGGGGTGTGTGTGCATATGCAGAGGTGTTGGAGAACTCAGCGGGTGGTGCCCCCCGGAATCAGCGAGGTTGTTCGTGAACACTGCTTATTCTTTCTGAGTAAGCCCTAAGCTAATACCTGGAAGTGAGAAGAGAAAGGGCAGTTAAGTCAACCAAAATGGATTTTCTTCTTTTCCATGAGACTTTCTAAAATAGAAGATGAAAGTCACGAAGAAGCAAGGCACAAAAATGAAATACATTCTAGTATAAAACGATTCAAAATGCCGTCTCCTGGTGTTTTGGCAGGTGATGTAAAACAAGAATAAATGCTTGTGACAGAGATGGTAAATGCTCACTAACCTTTCCCGTTAGAGGTGATATTTTTGCTCTGTGTCCTAACGTCAACCCTGTAATCTTTAGTCTCGTGGAAGATAATTCTATGTTACAACCGATTTCCAGCATTTCGTCCAGGCAACTTAAAAAAACAACAAAAACAAAAAACAATGTGTATAACCTTTCCCTTTTCTACTTTATTCCATCACGATCGTGCTAGAATGTTCTGTTTGTTTGGGCTTCTGGGGTAAAGAAATGTCAAGAAAGTGCACAACTTTAAACAGCCACTTTCCTTGGCACAGAGCCCCACATACGGCTTCACGCCAAGAGGGACACAGGAGCCGCTTAGGGAGAAAGCATCTGTGGAATGAAAAGCACACTTTGGGGGCGCGTGTGTCTGTGCTTTACAGCACAGCACTGCCTAAGCCGCCCACGTGTGCCCTGCGGGCACGGGGCAGCTCAGGAGGGGAAGCTTCTTTGCCAGCGGAAGGCAAACAGAGCTCAGTGGAAGGGCTGAGCAGATCTCCTTCAGGAAAGAAACTTTGGGGACGATGAAGCCAAGAAAACCCAGGCCTTTGGCCCCCAAGGCTAGAGGATCACATGCAGTGAACACAAACATCCTGGTCTTACTGGCATGTCTTTCCCCAGAGATGTCATGGCGCAAAGGTTGAAATGGACAACACATTTGAGTTGACCTGGATCTTGAAATTGGAGGAACCCAGAGGCTGTGGGACTGGGGTGGGCAGCAGCGTGGGCGAATGGGCTGGAGGTCTCCTGCCCGGGTATGCTGCTACCTGTGCGGCATGAGTCAGGCTGAGACTGGGGGTCTGCCGGAGTCTCAGTCCTTGGAAACAGCAAATGTTTGCCTTTCCTTTTAGAGAGGAAGTGACTCACCACATTCGTACTAATCTTAGGAAGGCTGCGTATTTCTTCTTCCCCTCAATTATGGGTAGTCATTTCTTCCATGTTTATATCCCTTACTTAGTAAAATGGGGCATGACTCCTGTGGTCAAAAGAGAGACTGACAGGCTGCAGTGAGGGTAACCAAACTCTAAGCACACTGTGCACATTGCCGGTCTGTGCATTTCCATCTCAGTTGTAGTCCCCGAGGGCTTCCCACCACCTCTTCACCCGTGTGCCATCACCATAGTCCCTGAGCTCTTCCTGCTCCAGTTTTGATCCTGTTCCCCCTCACTACCCCAGTAGAATGTCTCTGGTTTATAGTTGTTTGTTGATTTTCGTTTTTACTTTATTACAATTGCTTTTTCCCCCTGATTCTTTACACTGTTATGAGTGTAACCATCCGGTATTTTTCTTTTTCTCTCTGGCTTATTTCACTAAGCACGATCCCTTCCAGCTCCATCCATGTTGCCACGAATGGCATGGGTTTATCCTTTTTGATTGCTGAGTGATATTCCATAGTGTGTATGTACCACATCTTCTTGCTCCAATCACCTGTTTTTGGGTATCTGGGTTAATTCCACTATACAATCTTTACTATTGTAAATAGCGCAGCAATAAACATGGGGGCGCAGGTGTGACCCTTTCTCTTAAGTGGTGAAGTATGCTTCTCTCTGCACAAGGATATTCTCTTACAAAACTTAATTATAATCACTAAATTGAGGACATGTAATAGGGTTTTTTTTTTAAGGCTACAATTCCCATTCAGGTTTTTCTAATTCGAATATTATTCCATGTTGCATTTTTTCTCCCCCAAACCAATACTTTAAAAAAAAAAATCACCACTGTGTCAATGTGTCTTTATCATACTTATTATAAAAGGATGTCTTGGCCTTTGTTTTTATGATATTGACGTATTTAGGAGTGTAGACTGTTTTGTAAAGCTCTCCTCACTCTGGGTCCCTTTTTAATTTTATCTATATATTGTAATTTTTAAAAGTTCACTTTCTTACACATTGTTGTGTATTTTTGGGCAGTATTTGATCTCCCCTCAGGTGTAGTCCTGGCCTCTCCCCCCACCACAGCACCCATCACCACTGCCCCTGGGCTCTTCCCTCACCTGTGCGGACCCTTCTCCCTCCCCTCCTCTCTCCTCTCCTCCCCTTTGTTCACTTTCTCTACATTCCACGCACGGAAGTGAAACTGTCCAATGCCTTTTTCCTTCCGACTTATCTCACTGAGCACAATCCCTTCCAGCTCCACCCCTGTTGCCACCAATGACACAAGTTGATCTTTCCTCATGGCTGGGCAGCAGCCTGCTATGTACATAAACCACATCTCCATCCGCGCATCTGTTTGGGGGCATTTGGGTTGTTTCCACATCTTGGTTATTGTAAACAGAGTTGCTGTAAACACAGGAGTGCAGGTTTCCTTCCGAGTCCGTTATTGCGTTTGGATAGATTCCTGGGAGTGCAGGCCCTGGGTTATCTGACAGACCCATCTAGTGTTTTGAGGCTCCTGCACATAGCTTTCCAAGTGGCCTGACCAGTTTACATTCTCTGCATTCCTTGTGAAGCCGAGGTTTTTTGGTCATGTTCTTGGTGCTTGGCACCCACTATTGGTGACATTAATTTTGTCATTGATAAAATTTACCATTTGACTAAGATAATGTCTGGTTTCTTTTGAGCAGTTAGTTTTCCTTGTTTTTAATAAGTACTATGTGGGGAGCTAATCGGAGACATTGTAAATACCTTGTCCTCATCAAATGTTTATCTAATGGCTTCAGATTCATGTCATGATTCTTGCCGTAATACTTTGTATTGTGATGGTTGCAAAATGGTGATATTTACTCTTAAATTGAGAATTGCTTTTAATTCCACCTACAAAGGTTTCCTTTTAATATGTGATAACACTCTGGGCACTCTAGATCAGATAATAATCTGAGTAGGTGTGGCACCATGTTTATGTAGAATTATTTGTATTTCGATACATGAAAATGCAAGTAATTTGAAATGTGAAACCCTACTACTTTTCAAGTCAAATGCTTTAAAGACCCTGGAAGATGACCTGGCAAACCAGTTGGTTGTGTCTGAGGTAGTGTCTGCCAAGCAAAATATCATCTGAGACAGTAGTGTTATTTTATGGACCTAAGATATTCCTGCTTCTTATGCAGAAGGCAAGAGAACTCAGGAAACAAGCAGATTGATCATACAGCAGGGCCCTTAGACACGAAGACCTGGCCCAGCAGCCCCCCCAATACCACACCCCATCTCCAGGCTAGACAAGGAGGCTCCTGCCTTCCAAGTCTACTGCTCCTCCCCCCCACCCCACCCCCCTCAGGTAAAAACTGTTTTGAGGACGCTTTCAGCACTAACCAAGATGCAAATTCTGGCTTCTAAAAAATACTTCACCCCTCCCAGCGGTATCTAGTTTTTAACAGAGTTTAAAATTGTTAAGTTGCCAAACTATCCCTCGGACCAGAAGAGACTGGAGGGAGATGTCTTTTGTTAGGGAAGACAGGCCAGGAGAAATCAAATATACCTAATATACCTTGCACCGGAGTGAGGCAGATTCTGGACAGGCAGGAGGCCCCAGGGACAACGAAAATGGCAGAAAAATGGAAATTAATAGGACCTGAGCCTGTGAGCAGGAGACCACCAAAAATGCCTGAGCAGGAGAGAGAGGGGATATTGGGGGTGAGCGTTAATCTCTAGCAAGCTTCCCGCAGTTTTACAATAGCTGCCTGTACATTCATCTTGAGCAAGCTACCTCCCACGCATGTACATGCAGATAAAGACCCCTTCTTGAGTTGTGTTTGGTATCAAAGTCCCTAGAAATGAGCATTCTGGGGTACCAATTCTTATGTGTCCATGCCCCGTGCCCTGTTACTGCAGGGAGCTTTCAGCTTTCCTATCACTGAGTTGAATTATGTGAAACTCATTCCTCGCTGTCCATGTCCTCAATTAAGAAAAGAGCTCACTGCCATACCAGCCAGCTTGGGTCTGCTGGTCGGGACTGATAGGTGGGCTTGGCTGTAGACGTGCGAGGCTGTAGACGTGCGAGGCTGTAGACGTGCGAGGCCCGCACAGCAGCCTGACCTACCGGCAGCCAGACCGCAAGTGGACACACCCCCCTCGTTCTTTCTGTCTTACAGCCACTGCGTCCTTGCGCACGCCGCCCCTGGATGGACAGTGAATAAGGCCACCAGGGCTTTCCCTTGAACCTCTTCAATTTATGACTCTTTACATCAATTGCCGAAGCGCATACGATATTCACCAACCCTGGTCTTGTGTCAGTTGATCAAAAAGGAGGACATGAAATAAATTTGTTGTTAGTTTCAAGAAATATCTAGAAAGCAAAGCTTTTTGTGATGAGAACTACTAGCTCTGTAGCTGAATCTACTAGGAATGAGTTGTCAAAAAGAAAGATTCACAATTTTGGAATTAGCTTTATCGGACATGAATCAGGCAGCAGAGAGGCTAGATACTGCCTTGACCGACACAAAAGAGGGTATTTATAGATAGAGAGCAGGACAGGTGATTAGCAAATAAAAAGATGACTTCAGGTAAAGCTGCTGTCAAAGGGGGAGTGATGGTTTTATGCAGGTGATTTCATTGGTTCTGACCAGGAAAACTCCAGATTGAGTGGTTCAGGCTCATATTTG